TTGCCGATTTGTACTGAAAAATTGAAATTCGTTTTTTTCTAAGATTGTAACATATTTATTTAAACAATATTTTTACCCACATTATCGATACATTGCTGCCATCTAAATGGAAATTCATTTATGCCTTCACGATAGAACTCTGGGGATCTAGATTCAACAAACTGTATGAAAGCATTTTATACTGCCTCCTGGGAAGAAATTTTTTATCACGTAGAAAATTGTCCGGAACAAGGTCTGGCGAGTACGGAGGATGACCTATGGTTTCCAATTGCAGCTCCTATAGAGTTACAACGGTTTCTCGTGCAGTGTGGGGTCTTGCGTTATCATGGAGCAATAATGGTGAAGATCGATTCAGGAGTCGGGGCTGTTTCACTGCCACTTTCGCCATCATTACTATCTCTTAGTAAACATCTGCTGTTATTGCCTAACCAGACCTGAGAAAGCTATAGTGAATAACATCATGAAGAAAAGGTTTTATTGGTAAGCTTTGCCTTAGGGCACTGGTTCAGCGGTTAGCCTGGGGTCAGCCATTAAATTATTCGCTTACGGTTATCGTAAAAAAATCACTTTTCGTCACATGTCACATTTTGATCAAATATTCCTTCATTTCTGTACCGATTCGACAAGGCAACACAAGTTTCAACACACATTTCTTTCTGCAGATCAGGCACCTATTTTCATTTTTTTTTTCTTATTGATTTGATACAAATGAGTCAATATCGTAGGTAAGGTAAAGTTAAACCATGCCGCTAATTCCTGGTTAGTTTGACTCGGATCGACTTATCGGATCGACAATAGCAGTCTTCGAAAATTCGAAAATCGAATGTTGCACATTTTTCAAAAGAAAAACCTCACAGGTATGAAGTATCAATCTCATACCATGAAGGTTTTATATATATTCAAAGTATCTATATATCTAATAACTCTTGTTCTTAACGCTAAGTTGCTCAAACAAATGAAAATAATACCACCGCAAATCTGAGTTGTTTTTCTCCTGGCCCCTGTTTTCATAATTTAGCTGAATAGTATCAGTTTGCTTAAATCTGGCTTTTGTAGATTTGGATTATTATTTAGAAATACTTAATTCGGATTTGTACAAAATAATATATATATTAATACGTGAAGCGAAAACTTTGTACCCCTTTTTTTTAAGAAAATTGAGCGAACGGATGAACCTAAATTTGACACAGTTAAAGTTATATGGAGAAGAAGTGCATAAAGCTATTTTTTATATATAAAATGCATTAAAATAGAAAGAAATACATTAAACTAATTAAAATAAATATTACATACACTACTGCTTGAATGACAACACACACACACACACACACACACACACACACACACACATACCATACTTACTCTTATGTTCATGGTTAAAATCAATGGCCAAAACTATGGGTTAATTTTAAAATAAATATAATATATGATGCAACTTGCTGCGATGCAATTTATTAAAGAGGTATAGTTGTGACAAAAGCACCCTGATAAAGTTCAAACTTAAATATTAAATAAATTATGGTTGATTTTCGACGATACTAGTAACTTTAATTATATTAACATTCACGATGAATATATACTGAAAGGTTACAACTAGAAATGCATCTATATTCATTATATTTTTGCAAAAACCCTGCCAGTTATATAACTTTGCACAAAATTATCTCCGAAATTATAGTAGACTAGCTGCACCCCGCGGAGCTGCCCGCAGTTATTGTTCTACATCCCACGGGAACTATACATTTTTTCAGGATAAAAATATTTATGACTATTCCACATTTGGTGGTATATGGAAGGTATAAGGTAAAAAAAAGTAGAATGTCGCTTGTATGTAGTAGTAACCAGTTAGAATAGATATTCCATATTTATAATATGTAAAAGAAACAAAATAAATACCTACTCGAACCGTATCTAACTACTTGTAACAGGGCCTTTACTAAAATTTCTGACCTATAAAACTGCAGTAATAATCTTTGAATCTTGGTAAAGTAAAATAATGTGGCGTTTTATTCCTCATTAAAAAAAATATTTATTTTTGAGATTCTCTATACAAACTTCTAACCCTCTTTTCTTAGGGGTCTAAGGGGATTCATTGGTCAAAAATGCATGAACATTCTTTATTTCTAACAAATAGTCAAATGACAAGTTTTTTATTCACTCCCTTTACAAATTTCCACTTCCTTTTTACAACCTTAAAGGATGATTTCGGTACTAAGAACTATTCAGTATTTAGTATTTATTTTTACGTACACAATATAAACATTTAAATAAAAAATACATTAAGGAGTAGTAGTAGGCACAGAGGCGAGCTTAATCCATAATTGAGTTCTCTTCCAGCAAACCCAAGAGTGAAGAGAGGATAGCACAACAAGAGAGAGTCGTGTGTACAGAGTTAATTTAAGAAAACATAGAGAAATAGAAATATAAACGAAATAACCGAATATCATGTAAATAAACCATAATATAACACAAGTTCACACATCAATAACCACATGTAACATTAAATATCTAATACCTACATGCATACATAATTATATTAGTCTGTTACTGCTGAGAAAGGAAAAATTCTCTGATTCGCCTCTTAAAAACACTTAAGGATGGGCTATCGCGTATTGAGTGGGGAAAAGAATTCCACAGTCGCACCGCAGACACAGTGAAAGACTTGCCATAGCGGGTTGAAATAGGAGAAGGAGTTCGAAGGAGAAGAGAAGATGAGGTGCGACAAGGTCTACTTCTGGGGAAAAGATAATCAAAGCGCTCACTCACATATACAGGATAGGTAGGTCTATATCCTTTCTCACAACTCAAACTGTCTCCATTCCAAATTTTGATCTAAAATGGTTGAGCGGTTATTGATTACATTATACAAACGTTCACTTCCCTTTTCACTCCCTTAAAGGGTTATTTCTGCGATGAAAACTATCTATCCTATGTTCGTTCCCAGGACTCAAACTATCTCTATACCAAATTCCATCTAAATCGGTTCAGCGGTTATTGATTTACCATACAAACTCCCTCCTCCCTTTACCTTTAAAGGGATGACTAATTGATCACAAATGCATAAACCTTCTTTATTGCTAACGAAAAGTTAAATGATAAAACTCTTGTAGACCTTTTTAGGGTTCCGTACCTCGAAAGGTAAAAACGGCGTAGTGGTTTAAGCCACGCCGCTTCCTACGCTTCCGTTGTGGGTTCAAACCCCACATGGGACGACACTTTGTGTGATCCACAAATTGTTGTTCTGAGTCTGGGTGTTCTTTGTGTCCGTTTCATGTATATTTGTAAAGTCCCCCGCGAAGCAGGATATATTCCTAATGCTCCCGCATTAGGAATATATCCTGCTTCGTTGTCTTTTAAAAAGAAAGAAAGAAACAAAGAATTTCTTGTCCTTCCGCCCGTCCGTCCGTCTGTCTGTGTGTCAAGACCCTTTATCTCGGGAACTCATGGAGCTGAAAGCTCTATAGTCTATAAGTTTGTTAGCAACTCTACTTGCAAAAGATGTATAGTAAAAATGTTTATTATAACTAAACCAAAAGAGTATTTACAAGTTTTCCGAAAAAGTATATTTACTAGTTCAATTTATTTATTTCATAAAATTGTTTATTTCATTAATCAAAATCGTCTATAGCGTACTTACTTCAGTGGGATATGTTCAAGCCGTTCACATCAGCCAATTCAGCTGCTATAACCACTTATGTACCTACGTATGCATTGTTTAAGTTACTAGTTTAATATTTGAATGCCTGACAAATTTGGTAATCATCAAGTATTTATTTAATTCAATACCCGATTTTATTAAAGACTCATAACGCAACGCACAACGCATATGAAACAAAAAAACATTTTATTTTTAGGCTCCACGATCATAAATTCTAATAGAGTCAAATAAAATCGTCTTTATTTTCATATTAAAAACTATGTTGTGACCACAATTATGTCTTAATATCTGTAGAAACGACACTGTCTAACAAGCCCAGGAATACGGGAGAGACAGAGAACGAACTCTGACGAACCAACTGGTTGACTAGCGTGGTGAAACTGTTATTAGAGGAAAAAATACTAGATACGTAGGTAAGGCAGAGAGTTTAGAGAAGGGGAAATTGTGCGATAAAGAGAAAAAGAGAATGCCAAGTTTTTGTTACTGATGCGAGTTACAAATCGTAATACATATTAGATTTACTTCAAAATATGTGGTACAAATAGTAGTAGTAGTTACTCATTAATAAAACCGAGCTGTATTACAATGTAACTTTTATAAATTATAGTCATTAGTAATATCAAGTCAATTTCAAAAGTTCTAATTAACATGGAACTAATATTAAGACTAATTAACCAAGATCTTTAAACTTGCCAAATTGATGGGATCACATTTTAGGGCAATACTTGTTCAGGAAAATGAATTGAAATGTTGTAGAGCGTAATGCAATATACTGTTACACCAACTAAAAGTTCGATGAAGCCGTAGTTTTTAATTATAAATATTAATATCAATATATAAAAATAGTAGACAGAATGAGTATAGAGGGTTATCATCTATTTTTGCGTTAATTTTATCCCCCATTTCTTATCAATGCAACCAATGTGCCACAGTGAAGCGTGGCAAAGTACAGCAAGATTTTAATAAAAATATTAGTTAGTATACTTAAAAAAAACAGTACCTATCAAAATATTAAACTTGATAGTGAAGTGGTTAGAAAGTGAAAATATTCGTGATCAGCACTGAACGGGCTGAATCTGTTCTTAAGTTACCATTTTGTCTGTTCGACAATTGTCAACCGGTTCATTATGAACCGGAAAGAATAGTTTTATTTCCCCGTACCTAAGGTACCTTGATTAAAATGAATATTAGGACAATAGGTAGACAGTTCTATCATTTTATAGTAATGTAAGAAAATTGTAAAGAAATGAAAATGGTAAAATATTAAACCTGCTGATGGTTGAGACATTAGTGATATTTTTTTATTTAGGTATTTAAGGCGCCAACAAATATTGATATTTATTCATGCTGCATGAGCTTGTACATAGAAAACATCTGACAATAAATACTTAGATAATAGTGTGCCATAATAGTATATCTTAGGAGAGAAACATATAACAAATTTTATATAATGGATAAAAGAAAAATTATATATATATCCGAGTATATATATATATATATATATTAAAATAATTAAAAAAACTAAAACTGTCAGCCAGAAAGTTACAGGAACCCTGCGGGTGTTATACCGACTCAAGATTTTTTTACCTTCCGAGATTAAAGCGATGTTGGTACAAACTTTAATTTTTCCCATTATAGATAATGGTTTTTTTTTTTTTTTTTAACGGGGTGGAAGATCCTCATGGATGTCCTTCGCCCAGTGGGGAATGGCGAAGGGGTCTGTCGGACTCTTACCGACTAAAAACCACCTCGGTGATCCTCTCCTTGCCAATGGCCGGGGAGCGAGAATCGCAATTGCATTCTTTCGCCACCGTCGGCTCCCGGCCGATCCGACACAAGTACTTGCCGAAGCAACCATGTCCGGAAAGCACCTGTGTCATCCGGAAGGTGAGAGCTCCGTGTTTCCTCTCCAGCCACTCTCGTAGGATGGGTCTTACCGCCGCTATTGCGGCGTGCCCCGCACGGGGCCGCCCAAGCCGTTTGTCCCACTCCACGACCAAGATCTGGTGGAGCTCTGCCCGGTATACCTCTACTTCTCGAGGCACTGGTAGTTCACCCCGATCTGGAGCATCCCTGCGCCACCGATACTTTATCGCAAGGAGTACTGCATCTAGATCCCAGGGTGCGGATCCGGCAAATAGGCTGGCCGCCTCGAAGGAGATCGTACGGTACCCTCTTATCACTCTGATAGCCATCACACGTTGCGATATTTCGGGCCGTCAGAGTGTTTGCCCATACTGGTGCTCCGTAGAGTGCTATAGACCGTACGATCCCCGTATACAGCTTTCGGCAGGATGCATTGGGCCCCCCCAAGTTGGGCAAGAGCCGCGAGAGTGCCCCGGTGGCACTCAAAAGCCTGGGGGACAACTGCCGAAAGTGTGGGCCGAAATCCCATCGGCTATCCAGGACAAGTCCCAGGTATTTTATTGTACGCTTGATGCCGATGCTGACGCCTCCCACCACGATATGTGACCCTGGAGGTGGGGCTTTCCGAGGCCCATGAAAGCAAACGGCCTCGGATTTATGCAAAGCGACCTCCAGGCCCAACCGCCGGATCCTAGCGATCTCCATTGACCACCAGTACACTTGGCGTTTGGCAGAAAACGACCGGACCCGGGGCATGGCAGCATCACAAATGCGTGTCATGCTTTCCTGAAACCATCGCGCCTCCTCTTCAATATTTATAGGCCTGTCTGGTGCTTCCACCCAGGCATGCACGATAGACGCCTCCAGGAGAACTTCCCGGTTCAGCCGCTTCAGGGTCCATCGTGGTCCATCTCTAATCGGAGCACGTCCGGCTGGCCCTCTTTGGCTCAGCGTGGAGACGTCAAATCGTCAAATGACTCGACAGCCCATTCTTCGACAACCTCGCCTCGCTCATTGGTAGCCGGTGAACCCCAAGCCGTAGATTTGGCATTGAAATCGCCTAGCACGACGACGGGACGGGGATGGCTGTGACGGACGATTGTACCCAACTCTTCCAAAACTCTCTCTAGGTCAGCGAGAGGCCTATTTGGGGAGCAATATACTCCCACGACTACTAACTCTCCCAGCAATGCTGCGACGTATCCTCTTCCCTGGGTGACGAGTTCAAACGACGGAGAACCATTCCCAACATCTGTGATTAGGGTCACCGAGCCGTCCTCGTCTCCCAACCAGTCACTTCTAAGTGGAATGAACTACGGTTCGGAGACTACCGCGATAGTTATCAACCACTCCGCCATAGACTGAAGCAGGAGATCCTGGGCCCTGGCACAGTGATTGATATTAGCCTGTAGAAAGCGGTTGGTATGGACAGACATTATTGTGTTTCCATCTCATTTGTGGCCTCTTCAACGTTTCCGTTGGTCGCTGCTTGCGCAACCGGTAGATGAGCTGTTTTCGCAGGGCCCTTTTCTTTACTGGCTCCTTTATTTTGTTTCCTGGGCGTGGCACAAGCTTTGCCCGTTTTATGCTCGGCTGGTTTTCCCACCACCGCACATACCACGCAGTGCGGTGAGGCACTGCACGATTCTGCTTTGTGACCGGGTTTACCGCATTGGAAACATAGTCCGCTACGGTCAACCCCTGCAGTGCATTTGGCCCCAACATGACCGATCTCTAGGCAACGAAAGCACCTTAGAGGCCTTGGCGTCAGGAGCTTGACTTGTGCCGACACCCATCCCACTAGCAAACGTTGATTGTTTTTAATTAGATTCGCCGCTGCAACTGGACAGCTCACCACTATTGTACCAAGGCCAGTAAAGCCAGTACGGATTGAACCGGCCTTTATCTGCTCTAAAGGACACCCTCCAGCCTCTGCAACAGCGGCGATCACTTCTTCAGACGTGATTGAATCGTCTAAACCCATGATGCGCAGGTCCACACATTTGGTGGGTCTGGATACACGGACCCCGTCTTCGCCCACCACCGCTCGCAACTTCTCTGCGAGCATGTCTGCCCTTTCGCCACTAGTAGCTCCTGGAATTTCGAGAAGCCGTGCACCGGTGAGGGTAGATTTAAATCGTAAAGCCGTGATACCGATGTCAGCCAGCTTGATCTCCGCTTTGGCTTTAGCCAAGACTTTGGCGTAGCTAAGACCACGCTCCTCAGCTTCAGACGGTAAGGTGATGACCACCGCGGTTGAGCGTGGGGCGCGAAGCCTTCTGGTGTCTCTTGCTGCCTTTTTCCTTTTATTCCGCCGTCTTTTTTCAGCCTTCTTCTTGGCCCCTGCGGTCTCCCATTCGCCTTCCCGTGAACCAGCTGGCTGCTTGGGCTGACTGACAGATGTGGTGGGAACTGCTTTTTCAGTCCCACTCGCCGTAGAAATATTTGGCCTCAGATTACCAGCCCCGCGTGCAGTTGTCTTTTTAACCTTTCCCTTTTCACTTGCCTTTGTCATTCGAATACTGGAGGCAGGCTGAGAGGCAGACATCCGTGTTACCATCTCAACAGTTTTCTCCTGACTAGGAGAGGCAGCAGATTCTGCATAAGTCGGCTTTATCCTCTTGTCACTGGCCAACGGAGGGCGGAGAATCTTCCCCTCCAAGACAGTAAACCGCTGGTTTAAATTTGCCAACTCCTGACGGAGTAGACAGGCCACCTCTGACTCTTGAGCTGGCCGTTGAAAAGGCGAGACCTCGACTTCTATCTGGCGTCTTACCTGCAACCTGCCTAGCTCTGCGCGCAGCTCTTCCAACTCTTTACGGAGCTGAGCAGATTCAGCCGAGAGGCGAGAATTCTCAGCCTGCAGTCGTCCTGTTTCCTCTGACGATGTCCGCGTGACCAACACCTCCAGGTGCTCTGCGATCAAACTGGAAGCGTCCTTAAGGGCCTTCTGATAGGTTCCCTTTAACCCCTTGGACACCTTGGCGACCTTTTTTATTGCTGCTACGGCATCATGCACTCTTGCTTTCACCTGAAGAGCGGTTGGCTTTTTGTGCTGCAGCCAATTCTCGTCTCGCTACTGACAATCCCACATATCGACCTGAGGTCGGTGGGCGGCCCCTACCTCGTCGAGCGGTAGTGACTTTTGCTGCCGGTACTACTTCATCAGAGGATGCCGAATCTGATCCTAGATCCTCTCCTCTGGGCGAGTCAGGGTGGGTACGCTTTCGTATAAGCTTACCTCTTAGCGAAGCATTATCCAGTGTCATCGCGCTTTTCTGGCTTGAGGCTGTGTCAGAATCTGATAGGCCAGCCTGTATAGATACGACTTTTGGTCGTGCATCATTACAATTTTTATTGATTGACTTTTCCATTTTAGTCCCACGAGTAGTGAGGAAGTATTCGTCGACCCAGGCAGAGCCTCTATACCTGGGCAGGTGAAAATTTGTAACCCAACTAGGGGGTCCACAGGTACCCTAGCTGGAGGTGCGCTCACGACTGATGCTCCTCGGGAATTAGAAACGTGATCTGTCAGCCACTCATCTTCTCGTCACACACCAGAACTTAAGATTCAGAGAATTTTTTAGAGAGGTTTATTCCTCATGGTCCATCCGGATGTACTCTGAACGCGTATGCTGATGACGGCTTATTACTGGTGGTATCTGATACTAGGGCGGGGCTTGAGAGATTAGCCAATAGATGTTTGAACTTGATATCTCAATGGGGTGAACGTAATCGCTTAAATTTTGCACCCAACAAAACCTTCCAGCTACTTTTAAAAGGTAACCTCAAATCACCGCCAAGCATTAGATTTGACAATGTTACTGTAAAAAATAAGGCCTCAGTGTGTTACCTAGGATTAGTTTAAGAAAGAAACTTTTCATTTATCGAACATATTAAAATAGTTAATGAAAAGTCTAAAAAGAGTTTCTGTGCATTGACAAGGATATCAACTGCGACATGGGGTCTATCATTTAATACATTAAAGATCATATACGGAGCTACTTATTTAGGTTCTATGTGCTATGGTGCACCTGTATGGGCCGATAGGGCGACCGTAGGCGCTGTCCGTCGCAAACTGTTACAAGGCCAACGACTTGCACTGATATTCTTGTGCAAGGCATATAGGACGGTTAGCACCGAGGCTTTGCCGGTGTTGGCGGGTGTGCTTCCGGTCGATCTCGAAGTGCAGAGACGTGCAGCCATGTACTATTCAAGACAATAAAAAATGGAATGCGATTTTTTGGGCGCGCGGGATCGCGGTAAAATTACAAGATTGCTTCAACAGCAGTCCGATGTCTATAATGACCTCATAGACGAATGGCAACAACGCTGGGATGAATCATCCAAGGGGCGCCATCTTTACCAATTCCTTCCATCTGTTCGCGAACGGTTGTCGAGGACATGGCTTGAGGTGGATCACTGTGTCGCTCAATTTCTTACGGGTCATGGTAACTTTAAGAGCAAGCTTTATTCATTTAAATTAGTCGAGTCACCATTGTGTCAATGCTCAACACCTAACTCTCACTATGAACAGTCTGCTCATCATATCCTCTGGGAATGTAGTCTTTGGTATAATGAACGTAATATAATGCTGAATACCTTGCAGGTGACATCTGGGGCGGTATACTATGGGGATCTTGTGTCAACTAGGGTGAATTTCCGTGCGTTTATACATACATATTATAGAAATCAAATATAGCTCACGTAGGACCCGTAATATTTCGTGGCCGTGGTGCTTCCCTGTTTAAAAGGGTGTATGCCCATTTTATTTCATTTTGTCTCCCGCTTTGCTAAGGAGGGAAGTGGATTTACTGTATTTCCAACTCCTCCAATTTTCTTCTGATTAATTTCGTTGCGGGTTCCAAGACAGTTTAATTTCTTCCTGGGACTTCCCGAGTGTCATAACTCGGTGTGTTCGTGGGTCACTGCTGTGGATCCTGGTGTACAGGAGTTACAGTGGTGGGCATGTGGGCGGGATTAGTCCTCATGGTCCAGGCGGTTAAGCCAAGACCATCGGTCCCAGTGTCTAGTTACATCACGTAACTCGACGCTCCTACTGGGGTTACGATCAAGCGAGTGCAGCAAAAGAATAATTCTTAGGCTACCTGCTCGGAGGCAGGGCAGGTGCTCACCGAGCTCGCCATGGTTCCTCTTCCCTAGAGGACCTATTTGCACCTCTAATACGCCTTCTACTATATCAGAGGGACGTTTAGAGTGCAGCATGACGTCTAAATGTGAACGCCACGCCCTACACGGTAGTCTACGTCAGACTCCGTCAGGCATCCCGTTTAGTCTGGAGTCTCCCTCTGGGCCAATCCGGCATGAGTGGCTCTACCGGCATAGCCCCAGAAATCATTGACCCACGCAAGCCCCCCCACGACGACAACGTGGGAATACAGTTGGGGGGGTAGATTATGGTGATTTGTGCTACTACGACCTGAATGCAGATCTCCTCAACAAATACAACCGTCTTTTTAATAACTGCATTCCATTCATTTTTAATCTCCGTAAATATGATCATATTTACTCCTTCCGTCTTAAATTAAATTGGCTCCCAATTCGTCAGCGTCGTCACCTGCGGACACTAACGACTCTCTACACTATTCTCAACTCTCCTAACTCGCCTACATACTTGACATCCTCCTTCCAGTTCTTGTGTTCCAATCATAACAGAACCCTTCGCTCTACAAATAATCTTCTACTCTTATGCCCTGCCCACACTTCTGCGTGTGTTCATTCTTCCTTCCTCACTCAATCTGTACTTCTATGGAATGCTCCTTCCCAGGATATCAGAACGGCGACCAGTCGTAATTCGTTTATGTTGAAGGTGCGGGCTCTCCTTGACTGGAATGTAGCGGAATCATCACAAATATGATACTTTATATATTATGGTATATATGTATGTGTATATATATAATATAATATATATGAATATGAATGAACGCTGCCATATTATTCAAAACCTTAATTATTCCTCGCCTTCCCAAATCTGGCGATTCCTTGGTACCTTGGGCATCGGTAAATCCGGGAAAAGTATCTCCTCAACGACCTTTGATTTGGATGACATTAACCGACATTTCCCCACTCTTCCGCAATTTGATCACCAAACAAAGTGTCTCACCTTAAAGTACCTGGCTGACCTTCCTCGCCCAAATATTCATCAATCATCATCAACAGCCTATACTAGTCCACTGCTGGACATAGGCCTCTCCTTAGAAAGGAGGTTTTGGCCTACTATACCACGCTGGCCAGACGGGTTGGTATAGGGTTTGTTTCAAGTTTTCCTTCTCTTTGCAGTGCTGTTGTCCTGCTTAGTTTGCTCCCTTAGTCGGCTCTTACGATATTAATTCCTTTCAAATATTAATATTAATATTAATAGGCCGAAATATTAATTCCTTTCAATTTTCTCCAGTTGCATCAGATGACATAAAAAAGATAATCCTCTCCATTAAGTCCAACGCCATGGGAAGTGACAACATAAACCGTCGAATGATCACACCTATCCTCGAACATCTCCTTCCCGCGCTTACGCATATAGTGAATTATTCACTCGATTTAGGGACTTTCCCTTCACTGTGGTGCAGTGCTTTTGTAATACCCCTCCCTAAGGTCTCTAACCCTACCCTTATAAATCACTTACGCCCAATTTCCATACTTCCCTTCTTATCCAAAGTGCTCGAGACGTGTGTACATCAACAGTTATCACAATTTATCTATCGGAATAATTTACTAAGCCCTTTTCAATCGGGCTTTAGGCCTGGCCATAGCACAACTTCTGCACTCCTGAAAGTGACCGACAACATTCGGGCAGGAATTGTGGACTCCAAAGTTACCGTGTTGGCTTTGATTGATTTCTCAAATGCTTTTAACACCGTTAGTCACGAAGTCCTTCTATCTATCCTTTCCTATCATATGATGTCATCTGATGTACTGGAATGGTTCTCTTCATATCTTCGAGGGCGCCAGCAAACCGTCCGTGTCGACGAATCCACCTCCATATGGTGTGATCTTGACTCTGGTGTCCCCCAAGGCGGCATTCTCTCTCCACTATTATTTTCTGTTTTTATCAATCTCATCACTCAGAATCTTCAATGTGCGTACCATCTTTATGCTGATGACTTGCAACTTTACTATAATGCTGCTGTAGATAATATATCAGAGGCTATTGCCATGATAAACGGCGACCTGGAGACTATAAGCGGTTGGTCCTATAGGTTCGGTTTGACTGTGAACCCCACAAAGTGCCAGGCTATCATCTTAGGCAGTCCACGTATGACCAGAAGGCTAGATCAAGAAAAACTACCATCCCTAGTATTTAACGGGTCAATCATTCCCCTAAGTTCTACTGTGAAGGATTTGGGACTGTTCATTGATTGCAACCTCAATTGGCAAACCCAGGTTACTAATGTCAGCCAGAAAGTTACAGGAACCCTGCGGGTGTTATACCGACTAAAGAATTTTTTACCTTCCGAGATTAAAGCGATGTTGGTACAAACTTTAATTTTTCCCATTATAGATTATGGTGATGTGTGTTACTACGACCTGAATGCAGATCTCCTCAACAAATACGACCGTCTTCTTAATAACTGCATTCGATTCATTTTTAATCTTCGTAAATATGATCATATTTCCTCCTTTCGTCTTAAATGAAATTGGCTCCCAATTCGTCAGCGTCGTCACCTGCGGGCACTAACGACTCTCTACACTATTCTCAACTCTCCTGACTCGCCTACATACTTGACAACCTCCTTCCAGTTCTTGTGCTCCAATCATAACAGAACCCTTCGCTCTACAAATAATCTTCTACTCTTATGCCCTGCCCACACTTCTGCGTGTGTTCATTCTTCCTTCCTCACTCAATCTGTACTTCTATGGAATGCTCTGCCCCAGGATATCAGAATGGCGACCAGTCGTAATTCGTTTAGGGCGAAGGTGCGGGCTCTTCTTGACCGGAATGTAGCGGAATCATCACAAATATGATACCTTATATATTATGGTATATATGTATGTGTATATATATAAAACAATATATATGAATATGAATGTATGTATTCTTGTATGTATACGTTGGTATTTATATATTATTTCATTGCCTTTTGCTCAGTATTGCTATCATTACTTCTTTTATGTCCACTTTATAATTCTCAACCAAAAGGTTGTGCACCTCCACACTCATTTCCACACCACCCTAAGGTAGACTGGTAGAGAATGCCTATGGCATTAAGTCCGCCATTGTTCTTATGTGCATAAAGTTGATAAATAAATA